AAGAAAGAAAGAAAGAAAGAAAGAAAGAAAAAGAAAAAAGAAAAGAAAGGAAGAAAGAGAGAGAAAGAAAGAAAGAAAAAGAAAGAGAGAGAGAAAGAAAGAAAGAAATCCAGTTTGAGTCTAAAAAGTGAGCTATAAGCAAGTCAATCAAGGTGTCTCTGTGATTGTATCACTATTTTATAACTAGTGCAAACTGCATCTGGTAATGCACATCGTTAGTCCCAGAGTTCAGAGGCAGAGGCAGAGGCAGGTGCATCTCTATGAATTTGGGCCTGCCTAGTCCTTAGAGTGAGTTTCTAGCCATATAAGGTTACATGGTGAGACCTCGTCTCAAAAAAAAAAAAAAAAAGGCAGAAAGTCTGAGACTGAACTCAGTTTTTTATATGAACATTGTCACAAGGACAGCCAAAGAGCCCCATGAGGTCATGCTTCAATGGGCCTAAGGACCTACTCCTAGGCTCCACCTCTCATCAGTGCCATCCTGGACACCAACCCTTGAATCAAAGTGGACCCCTTAAGGGGGTCCCCTGACAATGTCTGACATGGGACCCAGTACACCCTTGGGTGTGGGTTTCCATTGCCCACTGCTCCAACCTTCACCTCAACAGTCGCATTTTGTGGCCGCTGAGCCATCTTGGGAGCTTTCCTGCAACCGTGTGCAAGGAATCCGGAGAAGAGATTTCACCTCTTGTTGCCTAGTAGAGATCCAGCATAAAACTCCGCCCCAGATAAGAAACTCTCCAACAACCAAATTTTGCCGGAGAATGGACTGACTATCTGCCTGCTCAAAATGCTCATTGTTAGAAAGATCTGGAAAGGGGTGGTTCAACGAAATGAGATCTGTGGCTGTCCTGACGGTGGTGCAGCTTGGGGAACTGAAGCTGACCTATCTTGGAGGGACACTGGAGATTCTGAAGGGGTTTAGAGCCATCACGTGGGGCAGCAGTGCCCCTCTGGGAGTTAGGATGGAAGCGTGGTCAGGAAGATAGCTACTACCTCTATGGTCAGGAAAGGGACCCCACCAGGAGGCAGGGGCAATCCCAGAATGGCCATGCTTGGAGCCAGGGCCAGCCTCGTGGACGTGTGACCTGCCTATCTGGAGACCCTTTCTCAGAAGAGTCACCCCTTGGCAGTACACATGCTGCTGTCACCCAGGTTCATCATGCTTGAGAAGGGGTCCCTGTCCTAGGCTTCGGAAATTATGTGGCCAGTCCTGCCTGAAGTAAGCTGTCTTCTCTCTTCCTTCCCATCCTGGTGTAATAAAAGTATTCTCACAAATAATCAGGAAATGAAACCAACGAATGATAGTGGTATCACTGGACGTGGTGGGGCGAGCCTTTAATGCCAGCACTTGGGAGGCAGAGGCAGGTAAATCTCTTGAGTTTTAGGCCAGCCTGGGCTACAGAGTAAATTCGATGACAGCCTGAGCTCCACAATGAGACCTTGAAAAATTTAAAAAGCACAAAGAACAAAGAACCAATCAAAGAACAATGGCCAGAGTGTAAATGCAGACACTAAAAATTTTCTTTTAGTGGGCTTTTAAAAATATATAAGAACTTTTAAAAAATTAAACTTTCTAAATGTGTGGGACTGTCTTCATTTGTGTGTACAGTGCATGCCTGGTGTCCACAGAGGCCAAGAGAAGGCATCAGTGTCCTGGAACAGGAGTTGTAGACGATTGTGTGTCCCCAGTGTGGGTGCTTGGAAACCAACCCAGATCTTTGCCAAGAGCAGCCGTTGTCTTAACCTCTGAGCCATCTTCCCAACCCCAAGAACATTTTCATAATAAAAATAACTGTTAGAGGACAAAATGGGGAGTGGACAGGATTGTCCAACTGTACATTGAGCAATCTTTCACATTTGCTCGTTTGAATTTGATCCCTTTGTTTATAATCTTTATTTATTTTTTAATATTAATTTTTACTTTATGTGTATAGTTGTGTGTACTGTGTGCCTGTCTGGTGCCTTGGGAGGCCAGAAGAGTGCATTAGATCCCCTGGAACCAGAATTATAGACCACTGTTAGCCAACATGTGGGTACTGAGAATTGAACCCGGGGCCTGTGGAAGAACAGCCAGTGCTCTTAACCACAGAGTCATCTCTCCAGCCCCTCAATCTTTATTTTCTAAAATGTTTTTCCTTTATTTTCATTGTTTATGTATGGGTGTTTTGCCTATATGTATGTCTGTGTACCATATATGTGCAGTGCCCACAGAAGCCAGATGAGTGTGTCAGATCCTCTGAAATGGGATTAAAGATGATTGTGAGCTTCCGTGTTGGTGCTGGAAATTGAACCTGGGTTTTCTGCAAGAGCAGCCAGTGCTCTTAACTACGGAGGCATCTCTCCAGCCTCCAAAGAAGCCAATTCTTTAAAAAAAAATTAAACCTTTACTTTTACTTTATGTATATGGGTGTCGTGCCTGTGTGTATGTCTGTACACCATGTGCCTGCAGTACCTATAGAGGCCAGAAGAGGGCGTTGGATCCCCTAGGACTGACTGGAGTGATAGACAGTTGTGAGATGTTGTGTGGTGCTGGGAATCAAACCCAGGTCTTCCGGAAGAGCAGCCAATGTCAACCTCTGAGCCCATCTCCCCAGTTCCAAGAACTTTTTTATAGTGAAAGTATCTTAGCACAAAATGGGGTTGGCAGGAGAGGAAGTTCAACCATACACTGAACAATTTTTTACAGCTACTTACTTTTAATTTGGTCCCTTTGTTTACAACCATATTACCGTCGTCTCTTCAGAACTCTGTAGCTGAATTCCTTGGACTGGATGGTTATAACCAATAGAAATTATTTTGCACAGTTCTAAAGGCTAAGAGGTCCAAGCTCAAGGCGTTGGGTAAATTTAATGTTTCGGGCTGAAGCTCATTTCTTCGTTCTTGGATAACATCTGTTTCTGTGCCATCACTTGGGGGAAGAGGCAATGTGGCTCTCTGGAGCCTCTTTCATGAAGTGCAGGTCGCATTTATACAGGCTCCTATGACCAAATCCCTCCCAAAGCTGGCGCCTCCTTCTCACGTCACCTTGGAGTCAGGAATCCAGCACCTGAATTTTAGGGAAACCCGAACTTTCAGATGACAGCGCTAACGTGATAATGTTTTATGAAAGTAATTACATAGTAATTATACAGTACAGAGTAATTGCTGGAGTGCTTTATTCCCTTGACTGATTCTTCAGGTTTTGAACACTCAACAAATTTAAAAGAAGAACACATTTCCGTCTTAAAAGATTTCATGTAAATCTGGTAAGTGCTTTAGTAAAGCAGGCATGAACTGAACATTTCACATTCAAAACGAAACCGCTGCCCTCCCGGGTTGTACTCCATTGTTTTAAATTTAGCAATAAATAAAAACACAAGTGGTCACACAGAACGAAACCATGCGTGTTCTGTTTTCGCTGTGGAGATCGCCATGCTCTTCTTGTTTATGTCCCGTCATTATTTGTTTCACATTTTTCTGTTTAAGCACAACCATCTGTGGTGCTGCGGTGAGTGGGGAGGCAAACTGCGCCTCCTATAAACTTGAATGCGTTCATGAACTTGAAAAGTCTGAGTGGCTTCCCCACTGGTGTCCTGAACTGGAGGCAACCAAGGAGCTGGGAGTTGGCAAATTCATGTCCATGTGGAGTACGTAATAAAAGCTCACCAAATTGAAGTTTATGTATCTCCTGGTAAAACCACCACAGCTGTTTAGAACCTGGAGCCAACAAACACATGTTTGGGTGTTTCTCACCAACAATGTCTAATGATGCCGACACATGGTAGTGATGTAAAGCAGAGATTCTCTGTAGGTTTCATTCCTGGTTTTGAATTCTATACAGAAAATACACCCTTTGGTGGCCAGCATTCAGGCAAATGTGTATCATTGCCTGGAGATGCTTGCCTGTTTGCCAGCTTTCTTGTTTGCGCTCTCTCTCTCTCTCTCTCTCTCTCTCTCTCTCTCTCTCTCTCTCTCTCTCTCTCTCTCTC